AACCCGCCACCTTAGGTGTATGTGGCTGGCGCCTTGGCCGCCCTGCTATTTTCTAATTGCAGTTTGCTGGAGCCAGGTTTGAACCTGCCATCCTTGGTATATGGGACCTGGCACACTACTCACTGAGCCACCAGCGCCGTCCACAACCATTTTTCATTTTAATATTTGTCCTTCAAGAATACATTTGTAATAAGAAAAAAAAAAACAAGAATACATTTGTAGGCCGGGTACAGTGGCTCATGCCTATAAATCCTATCACTCTGGGACACTGAGGTGGGTAGATTACTTAAGCTCAGGAGTTCAAGACCAGCCTGAGCAAGAATTGAGACCCTGTCTCTACAATAAATATAGTTAAGCGTTGTGACAAGTGCCTCTCTAGTCCTAGCTACTTGGGAGACTGAGGCAAGAGGATTGCTTGAGCCCCAGAGTTTGAGGTTGCTGTGAGCAGTGTAGAATGCCATGGTGTCATAGCTCACAGCAACCTCAAACTCTTGGGTTCAAGCGATCTTCTTGCCTCAGTTTCCCAAGTAGCTGAGACTACGGGCGCTCACCACAATGCCTGCTACTTTTAGAAACCAGGTCTTGCTCTTGCTCAGGCTGGTCTCCTCCTGAGCTAAAGCAATCCACCTGCCTCAGCATCCCAGAGTGCTAGGATTATGGGTGTGAGACACCTCGCCCGACTCAAACTATTTTGTTACTATCATTTGCTTTCTATTTTTTCAGGAGGTAATTTGTCCCCTTAGAAAGCAATTCATTTGTAAGAGAAATTCTCAATTAGCAATCTACTTGGAAGGATCCAGCCATTAACACATAAAGCAATTTCATGTCATTGTTTCTAGATGATAGAGAATTACCTCAGTCAAAAAACTATAAAGCTGGTCCTGGCATTAAGATCTGCATTTTAGGCTCGGCGCCTATAGCTCAACCGGCTAAGGCGTCAGCCATGTACACCTAAGGCGGCGGGTTCGAATCCCCAGCCCGGACCCGCCAAACAACAATGATGGCTGCAACCAAAAAATAGCCGGGCGTTGTGGCGGGCACCT